AGGAAACCATGATGGTCGTGGCTGTTGTGCAAACGCTGTTTAGCAAGAACAGCTGCTTTCCTGTTGTTGGTTTATGTATGGAGCAACGAGCGGCTTTATTCTGTAATGCACGGAGGCACAAAAGGAAGAACATCGAGCGGTAGGGATTAACAGGAGCTGTCCTGTTTAGTAAAACGCAGAGGTGGCAGGGGTGACACAAAAACAGCAGTCCCGGTGGGGCACCTCGCAGAGGTGGCGGGGCCGGGGGAGGCACAGAGCATCTGACCGCGGCTCCACTGGAATATGCAGGAAAACACCTGGCAAAGGCAAGCGGGGAGGAAAGCGAAGCCTTTCCCCATACACAGCCATTTACTGTAAAAATCTCCATTTCAGGTGGTCTGCTACCAGAGTTTATACTGCAGCCTGAAGATGGGAGATGAGCTTGAGAAACCACCTGGCTTTATGCCTCGTCTACATTGAGTAGCTTTTCTCTCTTATTCACCGTAACAGAAGATAATCTTATTCTCCTCATATATTTATGGATAGTTGTGTCTTTCATAATGACTGTCATATGAACAGCACTAAGTATTTTAACTGTCTTTGCCCAACACAGCCCAGTCCACTCAAGCGTGTAACAGATGCTTTCCATCCCAAGGAAAATCTTCACTATTCTCCATTTTGGCCTAGGTGCTGCCCTTGGCACCGTGCAAGCAGCCCCCTGTGCTAAATATAGACCTCATCCAGAATTACACACCTCTCATGAACACTTCTATTGTTATGGTTTTGGGTTGTATTTTAAAAAAAAATTACAGGCAAACTTAAGAAAATAGAAACATTTATTGAAATGTGCAACCCACTCATGTAAAACATTTAGCAATAACTATGTGACAGCACTATTTAAAATTCGATTTTTGTAACATTAAAGTATATCTAGCATCCTTCACACTGAAAAAAGAGGACATCTTAAAATGTAGCTTAAATGACAGTTATATTAATTACCCCAGGTATATTCATGATGATTTTAACTGATGTAACTCATTCTCCCCAATGCTCATTCTTTACAAATTTTACAGATACAAGCAGCTGCATAATGTAACTAAACAATAGTCTTAAGTTCCTTCCCAATTCAACATCTTTAGCAAGTGCTTAGTTGCAGTGCTAGAAGATTACACAAGAAAATACAATTAAGCATATCTGTGTTTACAGGACTTAAATTTAAATCCTGACTCTTCAGGGTCACCATGTGTGCATAATCCCTAAGCCTGGGAGTAGCCCTATTGAATTCAGGATTATTTTTCTAGTCCTATGCTGAAAGTTAGGCCCAACTATTGAACGAAAGCCTGAAGTAAATTTTTAGTCCAATGTGAACTGTATTTATAGATTTAAAAAAATAATAAACTAGGTTAATCAAGCTGTAGCCAATTTTTTTTTGAGATTTTACACAAAAATTAATTTTGCATATAAAAATACCAATAGCTGTTCCTTAACTTCAACGATTGTCTGTCAAACTGTTATGTCAGATTCCTGATTTACATTGTATAAGGCTGGCATTTCCTTTGGAAATCACACAGAGCAGAAACCTTTTCTTAATTATGTATGGTAGCAAGAGTTGATGTAAAATCCTTAAGATTTTAAGAAGATATGAACTTAGAACCCTCTGATAAAAGCCATCTTCGGTGTCTTTACATTATTTACTGGATTTTCCCATTTTCAGCTCTAGTTGTTTATCTTGCAGCTTCCTCCGTAGGCACAGAGGACCTCTGGCAGCAAAAGAATAGCCATTTACAGAGAAAAATGCAAAGCGAAGAACGGCGGGATTTCTGGATCTGAATGAGAGTTTATGCCCCTCACATCTGCGTGCAGCGATACAGCTGGCATTTTCTGCAGAAGCAGCAAGCTGGTTGACTTACTGGTACATTGATGCACTAAATCCTTCCCCATGCTGGGACTGAGCCAGCAGCAAAGGAAAATGCTTCTTTTTCTATCAAGCAGCATAGATGCTGAGCAAAAGGCTAGATTTAACATCTGAGCAATGGAAATGCAGAGGAAGTCAAACCCCACTGTTACATAAATCTGCACTGCCTGTAGTTGCTACCCAGAACTCCAGCCGAGGTCAGCGAAAGAGCTGCCAAAAGACTGTGGGGTTAATGTGTATGGGCCACATTTTAAATGTCACTTAGTATTAATGCAAGAAAAAAAACAAACTGAAATACTGAAAGTGTCATTTTCATTTTATGACAAATATAATATTCTTTCATGACTAAATACTGAAAGTGTCTAGGAAGTGGTGTGATTGCAAAATGCAAGATACACAGAGACAAAAGAGCAGCACTGAGACTGTATATTTACAGTTAGGATAGCAAAAATAGAAACTGACAGAATTATAAATGGAAACATTTTCACAGTATATTCAGAGATGCACCTTCCTTTATTCAGAAGCAGCAGCTCCTACTTATGCACTTCCCCCCTCAATTTGAAGATGCATTAGGTGAATGCAAAACATTCCTCTAGAAAAACTCTTAAAAAATCAGCTAGCATTATCAGAAAAAGAAAAGAAGGTATAATTTTCTCTACATGGTACATTTAATGCATGCTGGCTCCCAACTGTTGCCAATACTTAAATGTGTGAGGCGGTCCAGGCATGGAGTTCAGTGGACAGCAAGAATGAGTAGTGCCAGCTCACTTCAGTTTTGCGCAATGCTTATCCCTTCATACAGAGCTTTGGGGGAGAGAGACTAGTTAAATTTGGAAAACTATAACTATAAAGCCATAAAAATAGCCAGAAAACCAAGAATGAGGGCAGCATATTTGATTATTGTTTTTGGAGGGGTTTTTGACTTTTTTCTATTTTATGTTGATGCTACCAGCTCTTAAAATCAGACAGCAATCAAAAAACTCTATTAGTTTTACTTAATAACTGCATGTTTGTAAACAGCAATTAAGAATAATTACTTAGCCAAGCAACTTTTAAAACAAGGTTACATGATATATGAACTTTGTTGTTTATAATTTCATGGCTTTTAGTGAAATAGTAAGCATGGAAATAACACAGCCAGTATGCAACAGAAGATACATGTTAGGTGTGCTATATAGTATTAATTCATTTCATTAGGAATCTTCATCAGAACTGTATGTAGAGGGAGAGAAAAAATGTTAAAAATAATAAACCAATATTTGCATATAAAAGGAAGATGGAGGAAGTCATGAATAAAATGTATTCACTGTAAATATTTGATAGAACTAAGGTCATTGCCAGTGTGAAATAAGAAGTTGCTCATCCTTGGGTAAAATGCACTTTTATGTTTTAGTACAAATGTAATATTCTTTCATGAATAAAAATACATTTTTATAGAAAATGACATCCCCCAGCATTTTTGCAAATATCACGTGTGAATATGGAGGAGAGGGAGTAAAACAACAGATGCTTTTATGGTTAAGTCTTAAAGAATGAAAATGTCAGCTTTTTCATCTTGATTTACTTTAAAATACATTATTGCAGATAATGATTCCTAGATTCTGACCCTCTGTTACCCTTGAAAAAGGCAGGGACTGCTCTCAAAGGGCTGCCAGCTGGCCCTCTGGTGATGCACTGAGGAACAGCAACCCACCTTTCCATACGGACAAGACAGAGCATGTTCTCAGGTAAGAATTATCAATCATTAAAGCTGCTTATAATGTATTAGAGACTGGAGTAGTTTTTGGGTTGTTTTCTGGCATGCACGCTTATGTATTATCTTAAAACAGTTTCCTGTGTGACATTACCTTAATGGTTTGCCTTTAAGTCCTTCATACAATGGACTTAGAAAGTTGCTTTCAGATGTCTATTTATATGAAAGCTCTGTAGGTACTTTGGTAATGTTCAAAAAAATAACAGATAAGAACATAATCCACATTCTAAAAACATTTAACACAACATATAGAGTTATAATGAACATCAATCTGTATAATATATCAAATGTAGTTAAAAGTATTAGATACATATATACATGCACACATACACACACCCATTTTCCTTACATAATGCACCTGCCCTATCTCAGTATATTGAGTTACCAGTCTAGTTTCATGTCTGCTTTACTCCACACATACTTCCCTCCTCTTTTTAGGAACATCTCCTCATCAAATCCACTGAATTTTATAGCTGCTTCTACACCAACATCTAGGATAGACTTGGAAGGCTCTTTCCGCCCATTTCTACAGTTCAGAAAACGCATCTGGAAAATCGATAGATAAGATGTTAGAAAGTCAATTTGTAAAAGCTTAACTTTTCTACACAATTAAACAAGTTGCATTGCAATCCCACAGAACCCTATGTAAGTGCATGAACAGTTTCACTGCAGTCTGTAGGAGGCTCAGAAGCTCGCAGTTGCACACATGACACGTTTCAGCAGCAACAAAGCCATACTATTCCTGCAGATTAAATGTTTGCTCTTAAGTTACATGTAAACTAAGTAGACTCTTTGAAACTTTAATTTCAGGACAAGTTCTGTATTTTTGAATTAAAGAAAAACAGCAGTAACTTCCTGCAAAGATATGTTTCTACACTATAAGATTCATGATACAATGATCATGAATGCAATCTGATGGCAAGTACTCCTTTGGTCATACTTATAGTCAAGCTCGCAATATGTTTTATGGGAAGAAATTACATCTATTCCTTGTACAACATGGTAAAAATACTTTCTACAATGCGCAGTGAATTGAATTGGTTATCACTGTTGTATATATGCATATACTAGCATAAAAATACTAAGAAACAAACACATATTCATCCAGAATGAGGTATGAATCCCTCATCTGTAATAGATCAAAAGAAAAAACTAAATTAATATACAAACCAGAAGTCCATTCTAGTGAAAAATCAAGAACAAATCAAACAACTATTTATTCAAAGCCAAATATTTGAAACAGGTAGTGTCTTCCCACAATTTCAATGAGCTTGGACCAAATTTACAGAAATAACAGGATTACTAGCATGACAAAGCATGAGTAAACCAGCAATTCTTTGAATACAGCCTCTCTAATTGAAATGTGGGTGCCCAACTGGGTAAAGGTGTTCTAAATAATATCCAAGTTTTCTGTTAACTCCTGCATCAGCAGAACTTATGCTGTTTTGCATACTGGGATGATTATGTCATTTTCCAAACAAATGACATAAGTAATTAAGGTGGGGTGTTTAATTTTCACCGCAGTGGACAAAAGTGTTCTTCTCCCAGCTAAAAGGTAACCTCCCAGCTCAAAAAGTGCACAGGTCTGCACCAAGAAATAGGCCAACAGCTGAAAAAAGACATGTTTTCTCAGCTAACTGGGCATCTCCTACATGACCCTCCCTAAAATTCTCTGGGCAGCTGGAGCTTGCAGCTGTGTTGAATGGGAAACCTGTTTGATCAATTTGGTGTCCACCTTTCACACAGGTTTAACAGAAAACAGATAGTCTTCAAGAACCAAACCCACTGAAGGAAGTCTACTGTCTTTTTTGTAGGACTTCTTACATGAAAAAAAAATGTAGAAACGGTTCTGAATTCTCATCTGAAGACCTTCTCTGTTAAGTGCTCTCTTCCACTGAATGCCTTAAACACCAACCTGCACTTCTATGTCTCCATAGTAGAGGCAACCCAGTCTGCTCACTTGAGCTCTCTATCCATTAAGAAGTAAACTGTAAGTGGAGAGTATTAATCTGCAGAGAGGAAAAGGAAGGCAAGAGGGGAGATTTAAGTTGAACTTGGTTCAACTTAGCATCTCCTCACTCAGTTCATACTTTCCTAACAGTGAGTCTTCTAAGACTCCTCATGCCATGCATAGTTTCTGTAGACATCTTACAAGAGACCCTGAGCTCTGCTCTTAGGCATTTTACTGCAGCTCATGTAAGCTGGATGGTGGCACATCAAATTAACTGCTGGGCTCTGCAATAACACAAGGAGTCTCCTTGTGAATAAGGAGTCCGAAGGTGCAGTTCAAAAGATTTCAGATAGACAGTGTTAAAGCATGACTTTATTGTGGGGACAGTTACTAGTAAGATGCGTCAGACAAAAATACTAGTTTATGTTCCTCAACACCCAATATAATGCTTACTGGGATGGTATCTTTACTTTGTGCAGGTCTGTAGCAGTGCTACAGTGTAATATCATGGCGAATCTCTATTAGGAAACTACGCTTAGAGTATAAAGTTAAGTGTGTTTACATTAATATTCAACCTTATCAGGCTCTTGTGCCCTGGTGGGGAAAAGTAATTGAATTCTGGAGGATTTAACTGTTGTCTGGAGTTCACCACTCAGCTGTGGAAAACTCAAATTTCTCCACTTTCCATGCTGATACCTTATGCATCCATCTCACTGAGCAGAGGCCCACACGATGGTGTGAGAGGACTCCTGCTAGTTTCCACAGGATTGAAATCAGTGAGTTTTTACTCTTCCATTAACAACTTAGTGCTCAATAAAAAGCCTTAAAGAAAATTAAAAGCCTTGGCTTTCACCATAACAAAACCAGTTTTTGACAAAGTTGTGCTGTACTTCTTCTAACCAAATACCAATAGGGAAAATGTTAATTGCCATGAAAGCTCCTAGGTCCTTTCCATCTTTCCAACTTTATATGAAAATGAAGTTACAAAAGGAGAGTTTCAATTTTACCTTCTGATTAGATTCAGATACCAAACAGGAGACATCTTTGTGGCGATCCAGGAATTGTTCAAATTCTTCATCGCTGATAACAAATTTCTCTGCTTCTCTCAGGGCATCCTCACCAGTGTTCTCCCCTTTGATGAGTAGGCACTGGAATACCTGGAGACAGAAGGCACCTGGTTGAGATTTGACGTTTTCACTTCCTTTCCATATAAGGGACTGCCACCAAGACAAAAATCTTCAGTTGTCTCAGTAGCTATGTCTTTAATTTTTCTGTCAGTGGAGCCACACTGGCACAAATGGTGATAAGTGACTACTACATGAAGGGCACAGTGCAGATTTATTTTTAGCAAATTAGCATTACATAGCTCTAAATGTAATTATACAGTCATGGTTTCTGACCAGGTTGCCACAGAAATCTCAACTGCTCTAATCTTTAATAAGAACACAGATAGTAAAAGCTCAAATTAACTTTTGATTGAATGTCAAATAGTATGACTGTATTATAAAGGCCAGTAAGTACCATGTACAATGCAGACTATCAAGTTAATCTGTATTTTTGAAGTTTTTAACCTGATTTGTGACTATAAGTTTAACTAGCTTCAGATGGTCACAGAAAAGATAGAGAAGACTCCCCAGAAACAAAATGCCATAGTTTGTCTACTTAACAGCCTCCTTCTAATGGCCAAGTCCTCAACTACATTCAGACTTTTGGGGGAAAAAGTGCCTTTGCCATCAACATGCACTGTAACCCCAGTAATAAAGTAGGCCAAGAAGGTTGATAAAGTATTAAAATGTATGTCATATTTTCCTTACACTCCTTTAGTAGGACCAAGATTTCAGTGTCTTATTTTTTTCTGGGAAATCATGCACATACACCAATTTCTATTAAACAAATAATGAGAAATTATTCCACAAGTTCTCCCATATTTATAAGTACCATTATCTCTACCTGTTTTCGAACTAGTAACAATGAATTTAATACACCTTTAGTAGAAAATATATGCACACTAACCACAAATACTCTGTAACAGAACACTAATGTCGAATATATACTTACATTTTGCTGATATATTAACTCTTATGTATAGTTGTATTTTTCATTTTTTAAACACCATTACACATTTTCAAATTATAAAGACCTATCTTACTTTTAATATCCTAAAAAACCAGCTCTATGTATGCTGAAACATATATCATTTAGCACTGACAATAAGTCCGCTAATGCTAGCCTAAGCTGGAGATGGAGATCTGACTGAGGTCATTGGAGCTTCAGACAACTGCAGAACTTCATCATTACTTTTTCTCTGAACAGGAAACCTTGGTACAGACTGCTTCCTTACCTTCCAGCGCACAGGGTTGAGTACCTTGATCGTCTCATTCATATCTTCCTCAACATTAAATCTGTTGATCACTGAATTTATTTTGAAAGCAACAGCATACTCTCGGCACCAGTGTCTCAGTTTATGCAGATTTTCCACATGGTTCTTCTTTCCTTGACCACGGCCAATTAAAACGTTGACATTCTCATCAAAACTATCACATGAAATTGCCAGAATGTCTAAATATTCACCTGAAAACAAGTTTTAGAAATCGATTACTATTCAGTCCTTCAGTTAAAAGCTGTCAGGACTCTGCCCACTTTCACTTCCTCATGACCTGTCACAAATTGCCATGTAAATACAGTTCTGTGGAGTCACCACATGAACCACAAAAGCCGCAGCAGCATCAAAACATGAGTTTGTGTGTGTATGTGTGCAGAATTATACAGTCTGAACTATTACTTTATTATACTATTATACCAGAGAGGCAACGGTACAAACTGCCTATGTTCACAACATATGTAATTAACCATTTCACTGGTATTCGCGTTTGGTTTGTAAATGAACCAGTAGCAAAACATCTCTCACTTGCACCAAAACCTGTCTTCGGTGCAGCTGCCCTGAGGAGGCTCCAAACCCGAAGTTTGCCCTCACCGTACTGCCTGAACCACCGCTCCCGGATCAGGCTGCCGTTGCTGACGATGCTGACACTCGGCAGCTTCAACTCCTGTTTGCAGAACTGGACCAGTCTGCCGACAAATTCGCCTCTGTCCTGAAGAAATGGCTCTCCCCCCGAGAAATTTATTTTCTCCATTCCTAGAAAAGGACCAAAGGGAGATGCTGTGAACCCCTGCCCGCCTATTGCCCGCTACCCCCCGCACGCTGGCCGTCCGCGCCCGCAGCCGTACGCAGCGGG